GCGACGTGGGTTCGAGGATCTGCTGACCCGCTTTGTGCGCCCCGGATTTGGCGAACGTGTCCCACACATCTCACGCTACGATTCGTACCCCTACGTCGCTCGTCGCTCCGACATGTTCGCCGAGCTCCCCCGATCTGAGCTAGACGCTCGCGACCTTGACGGCGGGGAGTGGTACTAAGCGTGGGTATTATATATAATATATCGCACGATGTAGCCATTGCCTTCCAGAACACGACGTAATCGCGATGCCTTCGCCATCTGAAGTGTGTTTTGTGAGGTTTCATGCTGGTAAACTCATCTGGCCCTTTCTGCACATGTAACATTGAGGTTCAGATCGTGTGTGCCTTTTTCTTCGATCTGTCTCTCGCAGCTATCCACTTGTTTCACATTTGTTTGGACGCGCCTGTCTCAGTCACGTGGTCGCGTACTCGCGCCACAGACCCGTGCGGCGTCTGTAACCGCCTTCTCCGCTCGCCCTGAGGCGACTGAGTAGCCCAGAAACCCAGTAGGGTGAAGATTTTTGAGGGGAGATCGGCACCCTATGTTATTTTGCTCATTCGATGTGTGACACACACGGAAAGCTGAAGTGAGGCGTCAGTCAAGCACTCGGAAGACGTCAATACTTCAAAAGCAGCGGCGGAGACGTCCGTGGCCGCAGAGGCGCAACACTGTCGAATATGGGATGATGAGTGCGTTCAATAATTCCGTCAGACGCGCGCACTATGTGATGAACGGCTCAGGCGTCTACGTGCCAGATGCGCAGCCTGAGCGTACGTCCTCTGAAGGGGACATAAACTTCGTGGTCTACGGTGCGCGCCGCCTCCCTCCCGCGATCGTGTGCACCTCAGGGGAGATGGCTGGCACAACCGTCAACGCAACGAGGTGCATGCAGGGACGCTACAAGACCATCTCGATCGCGATGCTTCGTTCGACAGGATTATGGATGCTATCATCAATCCGAATGGTGATCTTACCCCTGTCGTCCCATTCATCGAGTGACCACAACCCCGAAGAAGGGTGCGCTAGCCACCCCAGCTATAGTTGAAACCTCAAGCGCATTTCACTATAAGAACACAAGGGTCTGGTTTATCCCCAATTTTAGGCAACAAACAGAAAAAGGCAGAGCCTTCGCATGGGGGAATTCAGATGAAATTTGAAGCTCGCACAATCCACACAGCCTCTCAACATAAGCTCACCGTTGCGCAGTTACAACATGGAGACGGACGTGATGGGCCGCCCTGTGCTTCTTCGAGCTGCGCACAGAGCATCCGGCAGATTCCAGAGTCCATTACATCATGAATGCAGGTGAACAATTTGTCAAGGTCATTAGTCATGAGACAGCGCTGAGATAGCAGACGGCAACGCAGGATGTTTCGAGCTAGTTTCGAGCTAAGACTAAGTGTCGACAGCGTGGATATGACTGTAATCAAGTTGTTCTGCAGCGTGTCTTGGTCTGAGTTCACACTCGACCATGAACCAGAAGGAAGCGAGCTTGACTACCGCGGAGGTTGCCTTCGGATGCTCTCCGCAGGCCTTTCATGTGGTCGCTAACGGGCCGGACGATGTCTAGCAGAAGGCATACGATCCGTAGGTTCATTGATTGCTTATTCAATAGTGCTCGTAGAGCTCGAGGTCACATCCGGTCTTGCAGGCGGGAAGTCCTTCAGGGGTTCTCTTCAGGCACGTACAGGTGAGTCAGCGAACGAACGTGCGCAAGCTAGAGGCACACTCACGTGCGAATGTCCCACACGTCCTCGCTGCTCCGCTCAAGGCGGCGGCGCGCCCACCACTCTGCACGGCGATGAATCCACGCGTCGCGCTTCTCCTCGGGATGCATGTTCTTGATGCTCATGCAGAACTTGAAATCGTCGAGCTTGTGATCGCAGACAGACATGTGCCCATAGCGGTAGAGCGACTTGAGCTGCACTCCCATGACTATAGGGGACCGAATTAGTTCGGGAACGGATGGGAAGGGACGGCCGCACTATTGCACGCGAGAAAGTCGTCGAAAAGTTTCATGCATCCAGGAATATCCTCTGGTGTTGGGTGCACCGCGCGCAGATAAGCCTCCTCCTGCTTCGCGGCCGTTTGGAAGTCAGTATTGGACATGGAGGATGAATGTGGTATCGGTCCAACCAGTGTCGGTCCCGCCAGTCACAGGCTGTCACTTGCCAAGAACGTGGCCGATTTCATCTCGGGTGCCGTAGCGCCCGTTAACTTCCTTCCCCACGTAGCTCCACTGTGATGACGCTAGGCAACGCGGCGAAGATTATAATATTCACTGGCAGAGCTCTGCTTTCTGCTGCCCATGGTTTTATTATCTACAAAACCTGGGCACAGCGAATACACTCTAGCGGACTGAATTTGACGATCGTCGCCCGCTCGATCAGGGCAGGCGGTAATGACGGCATAAGCATCGAGATCTGCGCCAAAAATATCCCGAACATTTCGAAAGTTGTGACCGAGTGGCTGCGGAGCGCAGCCTTCGCCAAGGGTCCCCGCAGCCGCTATATACTCGCCCACCTCCAGGCATGCAATGTTTCTTACCACCGTTCAACTCTGTGTATGGTACGTTTGCCTACACACTCTAGGCGCCCCGCTGACACTCCGCAGCAGATTGTTTCGTAAATAGTGGCATAACTTTACGCCATTCTAACTCGGGGATTGCTGTGCGGGCTGCGACAACTCATCGGGTCCACCCGCCCCTTTGTTCGGCTGACAAGCGCTACCCAGCTCCCTTCTGAACACCATTAGCCAAGTCAAACAGCCTAACCATAGATCCCGGCTCAGACCACATCTATTTTTGCTACCATGCGCTCTTTCAAGCTCAACAGAACAACGCGAGCATTCCTCGTTCTTCTTGTCTCCTTCGTGAGTCCCATTCACCTTCCCTTTCATTGATTGCTGACCAGATCGCAGACCACCTTGTTCTCCATCTTCGCCTTTGCTTACAAACGTGCGAGCGGACAGGACTTTGCGGCTGAATTCCGCCCATCCCCCACGCTGAAAAGCAGCCACGCTCCCCTTAATGTCACCTCCGCCGGTAACTTGACAACCGGTGCAGACACCACCACATTCATCTCCGCTGGCGGAGTCAGCGGGGGATTCAACAACGGCACCAGGCGCGCGAACGCAACACTCCTAATGCTTGCGCGTAACAACGAGCTCGAGAAAGCAATGCAAAGCGTGCGCGAGCTTGAGGAAAAGTTCAATCACCAGTTTGGCTACCCGTGGGTCTTTCTCAACAACATGCCCTTCTCCCAGGAGTTCAAGGAGTACGTTCTATCCGCTGCATGCCCTTGTTCCTCTCGACACAGACTTGACATGGTGACACAGGAAAATGAGCGCAATCGTCTCGGGACCAGTGACGTTCGCACTGACACCGCCGCACCACTGGTATCAGCCGGGCTGGATTGACGAAGAGAAGGCATCTGCCAGCCGCGATCAGATGGTCGCAGATGATATCATCTACGCAGGTGCGTTTATCACGGGCTACATTGCGCGGTGATCACTGAATATACGCCTGCAGGGAGTGTCTCGTGCGTTTCTGAACCGGCTCTCGGCCTCCTGCACAAACTAGCTGCTGACAACTGCCCCTAGCTACCGCAATATGTGTCGCTTCAACTCAGGGGTACGTCAGCCTTCCTGATTGATGGCATGCATAGTTTGTCCATGCCCATCTGCTGCAGTTCTTCTACCGCCATCCCGTGCTGCAGCAATACAAGTGGTACTGGCGGGTTGAGTGCGTGCGTATGTTCCCTGTAATTGACAGCCCCGTTGACGGGGCCACGCGTAGGCCGGACGTCCACTTCCATTGCGTCGTGGACGAGGACCCATTCGTGATTATGGAGGAGCAGAAAAAGGTCTATGGTGCGTCGCCTACTGCCCTTGGGCACTGCACCCCTACAATCGATAGCCACCCCCTCCAGGATTTACCATTGCGCTGCTTGAGTGGGAGAAGACCATTACGACGCTTTGGAAGACCGTGAAAGGTGCGGCAGCGTCTTCACTTGATCTCGTGGCCGCAGCTGATACCCCAACCTTTCCGATTTAGATTTCATCGAAGAGAACCCTCACCATGTCGCGCCGAACAACTCGATGGGCTTCTTATCCGACAACGACGGGGAAACCTACAACCTGTGCCATTGTACGTACTCTACCCTCTTGTTTCCCTTCTGCCTTTCGTGACGCTCCGCCTGTCCGTTCGCGCAGTCTGGAGCAACTTTGAGATCGCCGATATGGACTTCTGGCGCGGCGAGGCGTACACCGAGTTCTTCCACTACCTCGACAAGCACGGCGGGTTTTACTACGAGGTACGCGCGTCGCGATTACCCATACACTGATGTGATACCTACGGGCGTGCTCTCCGCAGCGCTGGGGCGACGCGCCTGTGCACAGCATCGCCGCGGCGCTATTCCTAAACAAGGACCAATTGCACTTCTTCGACGAGATCGGCTACGAGCACGCGCCGTTCACGCACTGCCCGCACGGCTCCGGCGTGAGCAAGAAGAAGCAGTGTAGCTGCCGTGGCTGGCGCAGCTTCGGTGCGTCTTCCCCTCGTACCCCGCATGCGCGCGGCGTGTCTCACCGATGCTGTCTGTGCAGACTACCAAGGCTACTCGTGCTTGCGCAAGTGGGAGCGGATATACAAGTGACCTGAGCGGCGGGCGTGGTCTGATTGCGTGAATGGGCGGCGCATGGGGGCTGCACGGCTTCTGCGGTTGCGTAGGGGCGTGCCGCCTGCGAAGTGTCGGCGACCCGCGGTGCGGTCCGTGTTTGGTGCGGACGGGCGCGTTCGGCCCTCGGCCGGTAGTAGCCACCGGCCGGGCGTACCGCCTCAACCGCGGCTTATTTCGGCTTACCTGAGATACTTATGTACGGGGCACGGACAGATGCTGCGCGTCGACACGGGTGTCGACGTGACAGTTGTTCTACTAGTAAGTATTGGAACAATGTCGGGAGTGCTACATATTTGTCTTTCATTACGATCGCCGCATTGCATGCTCATACCGGTTTATGGGGTCAAAATTGAATTGACGACACAAACTTCTAACCTCGAGAGTGTGGTTTCGGCTACCCGACACAGTTTCGTCATGAGGTAGCAGATGCCTTTCCGCAGAAGGCTGAATGTGCTTTTGAGATGGTATACACGCTATCACAGATTAAAGTGCATCCATAAATCTTGTCAATTCGAGAACGACTGTTGCCGTGCTGTTAGACGCCGAGGGGTCTGCCACGTTTGCATCCGGAGGGGTCCCCGCCAGATCGAGTGTTGCAAACATTGTTTTCAAGCCCCGCTCTGTCCCACTATCTTGCCTTTTGCTCGTGTCATTACGTGCCGATACTGAATATCGTTTGTTAATACCCATCAGAACTGAACGACCACCTCCAACTCCTGGAGCTCAAGTTATAGCGTGTCGTCATGGTTCAAGTTTAAGTTATGCCTTTTTGGCTATTGAAATGAAACCTTATTCGCGCTTCTCGTGAGCGCTGTCCTACTGTGTGAGTCTCAGCGCTACCAGCCTTTTCACCACCATGCTTTCACCAGACCTAGTCCCATTGGAGCCGGAGAGTGTGGACACCGAAACGCCCCAACTTCAGCCCCCGGTGACCTACAAGGCAGAGCTGGGAAGTCTAACTGACTATGACACTCTCACGAAAGCCCTTTCTGAGATTTCACAAGATGCATGTACAGCTGACAGAATTAAAGAGGTCGTCCTCTATTCATTGAATTCATGGGATGACTTCTACACTATGCTTAATCCTGGTGGCTTAGTGTCCTTCATTCGGTCAATCTTACCAACTCCGTTCTTCTATCGTCACCCACTACTCACTGTGCTTGAGCGACTCAGCCACGTCCGAATATTCCAATTAAGAAAGGCCTCTCCCTTCCAATCGACAAAGTTCACCTCTTCAGCCTTCTTCGCTGCGATGGGTCGTATCATGGCCTCCACCGAGCATCTTCACATCGAGGAGGTGACCTTCGCGAATTCCCAAGACCTACTCTCATTTGTCACCGCCTTCCGTAGGATCACTAGTCTCAACCTACTCGAGCTATCATTCAAGGATCCCACCACAGATCCAGGCCTACACACTCCTCCTTCAGGCATGCCCAGCACACCGGCGCCGCTCCGTGATCTTCACTATTCTGCAACGTGGCACGGGAAGTTAAACGGTCTATTGCCCGTCTGCTCTCATTACGCTTCGACTCTCCGGAGCTTGAAGCTCTTAGTGCTTCCTGACAGGGAGTCAAACCGTCATCAAAATCTACCCAATATCAGTGAGCTTCGCGCTCTTGAAACACTCGATGTAGCCGTATGGGACAACCTGATCACACCCGATTATAGTGCGTTTGTTGTCGGATCCTACCATAATAGACCTACTCAACAGGTTATAGATTTGCTAGACGATATTGGGGCGCTCCCGTACAAATGCCGCGAGATGAAGACCTTTATTGGGCACGTAAATCTCATGGATCATCCGCATCGTCACTACGATCCCGAATGGTTCTACAAGTCTCTTGCACACCTACCCAATACCATCCAAGCGATTCAACTGCACATCACTGCGGAGGCAGAGGTCGATTATTCCGACTTCGCAACACACGGAGTGACCACGTGGGTGGAAAATTGGAGCACGCTCGACTGGGAGCGTATAGACAGGGTCGTTGCAGGACGCCACTTCCCTTCCCTGACCTCATTCACCGTGCAGATCCTCCTGTGGGGGCCTCACGATAATGCTCAACATCAAGAATGGGTCAATCGTCAATTAAGCCAATTACGCTTGGCAGTGCAAGGCATATTACGTGTTGTGTTCTTAGACATCAGGGCCGAATGGGGTGAGTAGATATATGTTGAAGGCGATGATAGCTAATGCATGGGGTTGCGAATGTCGACAGAGCGCACACAACGTGAGCAAGAAATAAGTAGGAGATATTCGTGACCATATAATCGTCGCCGGGCCTTGACACTTTGTGGTCGTGATAATCCTAGCTAGAGACATCCTGCGTTGCCGCCTGCTATCTGCTGTTTCATGACATTTGATCTTGACAAATTGTTCACCTACATTCATGATGTAATGGACTCTGTAATCTGCCGTATGGTCTGCGCACAGCTCGAAGAAGCGCAGGGCGGCCTATCGCGTCCGTCTCCATGCTGTAGCTGCGCAACGGTGAGCTTATGTTGAGAGACTGTGTGGATTGTGCGAGCTTCAAATTTCATTTGGATTCCTGCATGCGGAGGCTGCGCCCTTTTCCTGATTGCTGCCTAGAATCGGGAATAAATCAGACTCTCATGTCTTTAGGGTGAAATTCGTTTGATGTTCTAACCGTAGCTGAGGTGGCTACGATACCCATTTCCGCCAGGAGCCCGCTTATGCACACATCAATGGGTCTAATGATACGTAATGAGCACTAACTTGCTAACGTGGCTCTAGACAGGATGCGAGGGGCGGTACGTGGGATATCGGTATTCTGCTTGTTCATTACAAAGTACATGCTTTTATGAGACACATCTCTGGCATTGCGCCGAACGCTGCTACGGGAACGACACACCATTCAGATAGATTATAGCAGCCATGATCCTATTGAACAAAGCACCGCGATTGAGATGGTCTTATAACGTCCCTGCATTCACCTCGCTGCGCTGTGCCAGCCCTCTTCGCTGAAGCGCGCACGATCGCACGAAAGGGACTGCGCGCGCCGTAGACCATGGAGTTCATGCCTTCTTCAGCGGATGCACGCTGAGGGTGCGTATATGGCACACAGACGCTTAAGTCGTTTGTCATACAGTGCGCGTATCTGACTCGGACGAAATGTTAGAACGCACTCATCATCTTCTAATTCATCCACCGATTGCTGTCATGTAGCCGGCGGCGGCGACGCCGCCGTTTGCAGGCCCGAGCACCGTAATGGAGGCTTGTGATAAAAGCATATTGAGTTAAACGGGGCTTTTGCTCTAAAGCTGTAACTGGCACTCTGGCTCTTTCTTATAGTGTTAGATACGTGTTGCCAGCATTTAAGCAATCCGGACGGCCCACTCTCTTGCTAAAGCTGCTATGATCATTCATATTCAACAGCGCTGCACCTCGGCGGTCACCTCAAGACGATCAGGGAAACAGACGCCGCACGCGTCTGTGGCGCGAGTACGCGACCACGTGACTGAGACAGGCGCGTCCAAACAAATGTGAAACAAGTGGATAGCTGCGAGAGACAGATCGAAGAAAAAGGCACACACGATCTGAACCTCAATGTTACATGTGCAGAAAGGGCCAGATGAGTTTACCAGCATGAAACCTCACAAAACACACTTCAGATGGCGAAGGCATCGCGATTACGTCGTGTTCTGGAAGGCAATGGCTACATCGTGCGATATATTATATATAATACCCACGCTTAGTACCACTCCCCGCCGTCAAGGTCGCGAGCGTCTAGCTCAGATCGGGGGAGCTCGGCGAACATGTCGGAGCGACGAGCGACGTAGGGGTACGAATCGTAGCGTGAGATGTGTGGGACACGTTCGCCAAATCCGGGGCGCACAAAGCGGGTCAGCAGATCCTCGAACCCACGTCGCTCGAGTGCAGCGAACAGGTCCTCGATCGTCCGCTTACCCTTCTCTTTCTTGAAGCTCGCCTCCTCCTCAGCCGTGAGAGGCCTCTTCGTGCACTTGCCGTTCAGCTCTGCCAGTTTCACCTTGAATTCATCCGTTGCCATTGCAACCTTCGGCCGGATGCTCCAGTGGCCCTGGGGGTCGTTATCATGGATTGCAACCAGGTTCAGCGCTGTAAGTTCCGCCTCGCCCGGCAGCACCCAGACGTTCTTCAGCTGGCTCTTCGTCTTCCAGTCATTTAGAATGTAGTCGAACGTCGACATGCCACCGGCGGCTGTCGAATGGCCGCATCAGACTCCGGTCGCGCAGTCAGCAAAGAGCGACTTACTTGTGCTGACTTTGCCATTGTCCATTACGAGGTCCTGGGGCCGCACGTTGTCCAACCTTGGGCCGCCCGCGTTACCACTGCGGTACAGGGTAGGCATCGCACGCGCATTCCTGCAGTAACAATGTCAGATGACAATAACT